TTCAACTCCAATTCCATATTCGTAACAATAACCGAGCTTGTAAATTCCGTCTGGATCGTTCCCATCGGCTGATTTTTTGACAATCGTTGAAATTCAGTTTATTAAAACCAACGATTAATTCGGTTAAATTTTCATTTGATATTTTGGTTATCAAAAAACAAAAAAAATAATGGATACGTATCAATTACAATTTACCGGCACTGTTTTTTATTTTCAGAGGTTACAGATGCAGTTTTCAGCCTACAAGCATATGCTACGTATTTTCTTAACAATAGTGATAGTGCGTAATTTGGCTACGTAATGATAAATAAATATGCATGCATATTGTGTACGTACGTACGTAAGTACGTATACGTATACGTATACAAAATGAAAAAAAATCAATTGCCAAATAAATTCATTAAAAAGTTAATAAAACGGAAATTTAAGAAACTCTCCAAAAGATAAATACATTGAATGCCATTTCTCTTCAACGGCCAAACTTTTTCGGAACATTGTCTATATTGTCAAGCTATAAAATACAAATAAAAAACAGGTTGGTGTAAAATAATTTTTTTTCATTTTGTATACAATAAAAAAAATCAAAAAAAAAACTATTTAATCTTCTATAAAGGTTGGTGCTTTTAAAACTGCTAAATATTACTTAAAAGATTCAAGATTAACTGAGCTTTTAGTTAAAATTATATCTAATTTATATTGTTACAGTAGAAAGAAATTGCAATTTTTTTATTTTTTAAGCAAGAAAAATCACATGAAGGTTTCAAGCATAGATGCATAAGATGGTCTCACTTGCCAATATAGCTCAGTCTTTATCAGGGTTTCATATTTATTTTTCCAGAGGCCTTGCTTTTCACCGAGGATATCGCCTTTCTCCAAGGGTTACGTCTTTTGCCAAAAGTTTTCGCCAAAGTTTTGTCTTTCGTTTTTCACCAGCTTTAGGTTTTGTCTTTAGTCCCTTAAGTAAAATAGGGTTGCCTAATGAAAACCTGACACCATGCTTTCCACTTGATGGTAAACAAATTAGACCAATTCAAGAGCCATATGAATTTTATGATCAGCTCAAGGTAAAATAAAGTTATTATATAAAAAAAATCAAGCTTTAAATATAGAGTTTAAGAAAAAGATTATATATATATTTTTTAGACACAAATTCTTGCTGCAAAAGAACGCATATTTTTATCTGCTTTGTATATTGGTTCTGAAGAGAAGGAATTGGTAAAAAAAATAGTCTAATTTGAGTAATTTATAAGTAAAATTTATTTTTTTAAAAAAAATTTTAAAGTTAAATAACTTTTGATTTATTAGTTCATCTTAAATGATTTTATTACTAAAATATTTATATTTTTGAGATAAATATTTTGATAATAAAATTATTTAAAATAAACTAGTAGATCAAAAGTTATTTAGCTTTCTTATTAATTACTTAAATTGGCTTATATACTTTTTACATACTTATTATTCTAATTTTAATAAAGTATTTTACTTATATTTAAAATTTATGATTTTTATCTTATAGATTGAAACTTTAAGAATAGCTATTAAAAAATCAAGTAAACTTAAAGTTCATATATTGCTTGATTGCTTGCGAGCAACACGAAGTGGTAAATCTTACAAGGATCAAAGTCCTGCAGATCTTCTTGCACCACTAGTCAAGGAATTTCCTGATCAAGTAACTATATCATTATATCATACACCTGATCTAAAAGGAATTTTAAAAATATTTCTTCCTTCAAGATTTAATGAAGGAATAGGATTGATGCATATTAAAGTATATGGATTTGATAATAATCTTATTTTAAGCGGGTAATAAGATATTATTATATTATTTTTATTTCTCTATATTCATATTTATTAATTTGTTTACTTATTAATAAATTAGAGCCAATTTAAGTCATGATTATTTTAATAATAGACAAGACCGTTATATGCTATTTACAAATATATCAAATCTTGCTAATTATTTTGATGATCTTATAAAGACAATAGCAACTTTTTCATATACATTAAAACCTGATAAAAATTCTTTTAAGTTAGTTTTATCAAATATACCAGATCCATCATCTCAAAGTAGACAGTTTAAGAAACATGCATCTTTTATTATGAAATGTTTTATTGAAAAGTGGATAAAAAAAGGAGATATACAAGAACATCAATTAGATCAATTTGATACAATAATCTTTCCTGTTATACAAATGGCTTCTTTGGATATTAGACAAGATGAAAATGCTACTCTTTATATCTTAGATACAATTGCAAAGAATGAGAATTGGAAAATGTTTTTTACATCTGGGTATTTTAATTTTACTCAGAAATACAAAGACAAAATTTTAAATTCAAATGCAAAATTTCAAATACTAGCTGCATCACCAGAGGTTTGTTTAATTTAAATATTTTTTAATTATATTGTTTATTTTTAGTAAAATATTTAATTTTTATTTTAGGCAAATGGATTTTATTATTCAAAAGGAATTTCCAAGTATATTCCGATGGCATATACATTTTTAGAATATCAATTTTTTAATGATATAATTCGTTATAGAAAAAGTCATTTGATAAAAATAGAGGAGTATAAACGATCAAATTGGACTTTTCATGCAAAAGGTATTTATATAATCAACTTGTTTTATATATATATATGAGTTACAATGTTTATAAAACTTATTATAGGTTTATGGTGTTATATGAATGGACAAAAATGGCCAAGTTTAACAATAATTGGTTCATCAAATTATGGGTATCGATCGACAAAGCGTGATTTAGAAGCTCAAGTAATATTGATAACTACAAATGATTTTTTAAAAAAAGCTATGCATGATGTAAAAGTTTTTTTGTTTGATAATTTTAAAAACTACTATCTCTTTTATATAAATAACTTATAATTTTTATTGTATAGGAATTAAACCATTTACGCAAGAATACTGCAATGGTTACAAATGAAACATTTGCACAAGTTGATAGAAAAGTACCATGTTTGATCAGAATAATTACTAAAATTATTAAAACAATGCTATAAATATTATTAATTATAAATATATATCTAGTGGTTTTAAAAAGTTGGGTAGTTGTATTTTCATTACAATTGTAATATTATCTATTACTTAATAAAAAGCTCCTAGCCAAGAAATTATCTTAACTTTTAAAAAAAGAAGTTAAATAGGTGTCACATCTCTGCGATATACTTGTATATCACATCTCTGTGATGTACTTATATATCGCATCTTAATGATAAGCCAATAAATTTTCAAAATTATATGTAATGTAACATGATCAGGAAAATTCAAAACAAATATTTATTTTAACAAAAATTATTATAACTCAAAATTTTATATATAAAACTATCTTTGCTTTATAACAAAAAAAATTTCTTGCAAAATTTTACTATAAAGCTTTTTTCTTTCACACCTAATCTATCTAATTCTAACCCTAATTCTAACTAATAAAAAGCAATTTATTTAATTTTTTTTTTTTTT